TGGTTTTTTTTTTTTTTTTTTTTTAGCCAGGATCACAAAATGCAATTCGTGAAATCACTATGCAACGATTGGACGATGTTTGTTAGCTTTTGGAAAATCGGATCGAATGATTTATCGCGAAATATGGCGGTTATGTGGAGGCAGAGGGACTTTTACTTAGCGTGTAAAAAATACTTAATACTTATGCTTTCGTATACCGTTTACAGTTTGCTTCTATCAAATGTACTTCCAAAGTTATCAAAGTTTAAAGTTGCACAAGGACTTGATAAACACCGTATAACATTGAAATGATAAAATTTGTTTCCTGAAAGTTACAAGTGCCTAGAATAAAAGACACCATTAAAGGTACGGTCGTAACATTTATTCTTGCTTTAGCGTGTTTAGACCGCAGGCGAGAAGGTAAGATCTGGATTTCATGGTGCGTTTAGAAGCAGTGGAGAATACGAATCTGGGGCTCTCTTCCTTCTGCCCTTTTTTTTTTCCGAAAACACCACTCGAGCGCGGTGGCTTTTCCTTTGAGAGACGCTGCTTACAGTCGAGAACGTGGCAACAAGGGCAAACAGTTGCAGCCCGACTCGCGGACTAACTGAATTTTCTTAGGGAGTTTCAACTACTATTGCTCTTTGTCCAAACGACCTGGAGACTTCGAAACTTTACAATACAACATTTTTAGGGTTTTCTGCGGTACGAAAGGTTCACAAATTGAACATTTCCAAAAATAAGTTTTATAAGGTCTCAGACAGGTCTTTTTTTTATCACTCGGTACGTTTGTGCTTGCCACTAATGATAGGAGTTTTAAATCCCAGAACAGAGACAGAGGGCTATGGCAAATATTGTTCAGAATGAGCATCAGTGGTCGATTTCTGCACATTAAATTTTCAGGAATTCACAACATAATCAATATATTTTATTTCTTCCAATACATTTTTTTCCACTATAACCAAGTGCGATGCATAAAAATTAAGGACTTTGGCTCATAATGTGAACTAATCCCACTCCTGCCAGAGCTCTTCATTGTAAAAATAATCTCTTATTTAAAAAGACTCTCTGAACTTTCAACTAGTGGCTGCTACTATAAAGGAATCTGTGTTGACACGAATAGCATTGTACACCATTTCCCATTGTACACCATTGCCGCTTTGATGAGAGGATGAGAACTTTCAAAAGTGATGCTGGGGGAAGATGCAAGGAAATCTGGAAGAATTTCTTGGAATCACAGCAGGAATCACATGGTCTAGGAGCAATTGCATAGCCAGGATTTCAGCCAAGGGGGAGCTAGAATTTCCCCAACTACTCCTTGAGGGAAGGAGGTGGCAGATTAACTTTTGGTAAAAATTAATCAGCCACCTTCTTCGGTTCCCCCCCCCCCCCTTACTATGCCACTGTCTATGGAAGACCCATCATATCAAGGAGGGAATTGATCTTGGTATCGAGATACAAACGATTGGGAGGTAGGATCCCGTCCAGCCAGTCCTCGGGTAATCCTTGATACCCGAGTCGGAGGCCGAGGAGGCTGCCTGCAATCGCTCCTGACACGGATGCATATCCCCCTCGCTCGATCACGTGAAACAATGTCTCCTTGAAGTCCTTTGCTTCCTTTTCCTCTAATGCTGCAGTGCAAGCACTGCACAGAACCGAAAGTGGATCTCGACCGCTCTCTTTCGCCTCTCCGTTCACGTGCCTGTTACAAACAAAAGAGCCATTGAAAATCCATGGATTCAACAACCTTTAGCAAGAAGGTAAAGAGGAAAAACTTGCTCAATGCCATTCTGCAAGAGTTGTTGGAAACGTGCTTGTTGATGTGGAGACTCGTGAAGGTAAGGGGAAGCTGATGAGGATAGCAACGAGAGGCTCTCTGTCCCACTTTTCCCCTGAAGGTAAGAAAAAGGGGTCTTTATAGTGATTTTTTTATGTGATCCCACTGATAATAAGTAATTTCCATGGGTGGATCCTAAAGCATGAAGTAGTCGAAGCTAGAACTTACCTGCAACATGGACGCCACAAGGGTTGCCAGAAGCACCGAAGCAGCCACCGCTGCCTTATCACTGTGTGTGGTCTTACAGATCCTGATGGCATTGTTCTCCACTTCTTCCAGATCATGGAAATTCCCGATCCCTGGAACAGAATCCAGAGGCTGAACTTCTCTTTCTCTGGTCAAAAATGATAAGGCTGCCCATAGATATGAGATCCTTGCTCTCACCACAGATGATGGCCCTGGGAAGACAAAAAGGATCGGTGAACTCTTCGAACCTCGGCCGAACCTTCACGGCCACTCCATGAGGATCAGTCGGAAAAGCTTCATCTCTCAAGACCTTTAAATTCCAATCATGTGTTGTTATTTACTCAGGTTCATTCCCTAGAGTAGATGGCTGTGTTTCTAAATTGACCTTGCACCCTCCTGAAATAGAGCCTTTGTAGACATCTAGAAATGACAAAGAGTTAAGTAACTCCCCCAATTCGGAGCACATATTAGTTGCAGCATTTTTAAATCTGGCAGCTTGTCTACAACTCTGCCACTGACTATATTCATACCATGCAGAACAAGGATCCTATCAAGTATCTATTGCATGGACTGATCAGTATAGCAAGTGATGGGATGAGTACAATGTTTCAGGAAACATAAGAAAATGGGGTGCAAAGTCAACGAGAAAGCACTACAAAGGCCAACTCATTGCCTCTTTTATGATTGGAGAACTGAGATGTGGTAACTTTGTGTCCAGTTCACGGAAACCCTTTGACTTCCATTTTGCGAGGCGCCGTGCAATATCTAACTCATCCAAGACTCCTCCCCATTGAAGAAGAGACTCCAGGATCAGCAACTATAAGGGATAAGGTTAGCTCAACATTAGTGAAGACTTTGTGGAAATGAAAGGAATTCCATTTGGCAATAACACTGACCGTGATGTCAAAGTTGTCAGTCCAATCTCCTCGCTTCCAGTAGGACCGTGTGGAATCTCGAATGATGTGTTGGAAATCATATACTTCTGCTTCATAATAGAACTGAATTTCATCTGGTGACAAGAACTGTGTACCAATCCCCAGTGCATCTCCCAAGGCAGCTCCATATAGCAGACCTGCAGATGTGATGATTTGAATTTGCCATCAGGGAGGACAAAATCTAGACCTCAGTAAAAGTCTTACAAACCTGCAATCTTATCACTAAGTTCCTTTGGAGTGTAAGATGATGCTCCTTGAGGAATGAGTAATGGATTTCTGATGCGATTCAAGGGACTCGGAGGGGAAGAATCTAACGCATCTGCCCTGGAAATGTCGGATGCTTGACGAAGAAAAGTTTTTCTTTTCATCAGCATTGGAGTGGGTTTCTTTGGAGTTGCCTGGCTTCTTAAGTATGCCAAGACTGATGCAGAGCCAGCATTGCTCACTTCCCTTGGTGGGAACTTGGTTGGATTCTCACTCAGAATGAAGATGCTTAAAGAATTATTTTCACTGAAGGTAGAAGGCACCATACGGATCTTGTTGTGGCCCATGTTGAGCTTCTCCAATCTTGGGAGCGTTCCCAGCAACGGAGGAATGCCGGTGAGAGAATTGTATGACATGTCCAAGCGCTCCAGCTTCCTGAGATATCCCATGGTCTCTGGAAGCTCACTGAGGTCATTGTGACTGAGATTTAGGTCCACAAGGTGAAGGAGAAGGCAAATGGAATCGGGCAAAGAGTAAATGTGATTGTGGCTGAGGTCCAGCGAAGTGCAGTGAGGAATGTGATGAGGGAGTGATGCAGGAATTTCTGTTAAGAAATTGAATGATAAGTTCAATTCTCTATAGAGCAGAACCCCATCTTGTAGCTTCCATGGAATATCTGTCAGGCTTCCAGGCAGGAATTCTCCCTTCCGATGCTAGTCAAGAAAAACAATATTTAGCATTATGTCAGAGGTTATAGAAAGAGCCTTCATTTTTCATCAAGGTCTTCTATTTATACAATCTATTGGGCAACATTTTGTCCCACTAAAGGCAAGAAGTAGATGTGAATAGATCAGCTATATTGCTCAAAAATATTGATAGGCTTCAGCTATACATACAAACAAATCAGGCTAAGGAAAAGGTGAAAAGAATTATACATGAGAGAAGAAATGAAGTCCAACCCATTCATTCACAAAAATGCTTCCAGAATTGATATAGTAACCTGGTGTACACAAAGAATCAACAGAAGGAACATTTACTATTTTGGTCACTTGACCAAAGACAGTCATCAAATCATTCCTAGGCTGCTTTTAAATAGAATATTCAGTCAAGTCATACAATGGCAACCATTTTGAAGGGGATCAGTTAAGTAGAAGAAGGGGGGAAAGAAACAAAGCCAACATGACAGAAATGAGGCCAAATGACACAGCTAAAGTGGAAAGCTGAGGAGTTAATGCTTTTACCACTACTTCATTCTGAGGCAAATGAGGGCAGACATGATGTCGGTGAAATAGGACATGCAAATTACAGTGAGTTCCAATCAATAGATGGATTGCACATCATCCATAGGGCTGTAAGTGGAAAGCAGCCTCATGCAAGGAATTGTGGAAGTTTCATTAATGATGGGAAAAGTGGATGATGTATAAAAACCAACCTCAAGACTTCCCATCTTTGGAATCAGACATCAGGTCATTCCCCAGGTGGAATATACTTAAACTTAACTTAAACAGATGGTTTTCTTTGTAAAGTTTTGATTTTAATGGATTGATGCTCTTGAGTCCAGTGCAGTGCTGCAAAATGGTGTCCTCTATTACCCTAAATATGCATGATCACATAAAGATAGGGAATGTAGACTAACTGATACTGTGGTAATCCTTGTCTTTTCACTACCTATGCAAATACATGAAGCTTTATGAACTCCAGCAGTGTTTTCAAACAGTTTTTGACAGAAACAAAGGTTCAATAGGCTCTTCAAATGCAATGCCTATTCATAAAGGCACATATTCCATTCTTTCTGCACCATTTGTACATCACTCACTGCAACCCGAAGCAGTCTTCCCCAACCCCTCCCCTCCCTGCCCACCTGTTTCAAGAGTTTCTTTTTATATATCAAACCAAGCCTTTGGCCTCCTTAACTCCTCCTCCATCTACATTCCATACACTAGTATTTACACCCTACCAAACCAAAAGCCTATCCAACTTTTCACCTCCTGTCTATAAAAAAAAAAAAAGGAGAGGGAGATGGGGATTAAACTTGCAACATTTGGCATTGAAGAGTAAGACATAACCCACTGGGGTACCAGCTCTTGCTTTGGATTGCAGGGAGATGGTAGGGATACAAAGAGATCCCTCCCTTTTCAATGTGTATGTGATATATGGACCATCTTACATGAGTTATCCAAGGGCAAAGATATGTACCTGGAAACAGCCAATTCATTGAATAACAATCAAGAATTCTCAAACCAGGAAGATGAGGAAAAAGAATTCATTTGATATAGAAGCTTTTACCATGGGTCACAGGGAACCAAAGAGAATGCAGTAGACCTATCATAGAACTTTCTTAACAGCTAAGAATGCTTGATTCAGATGAAGCACAAAATTCAAAACATTATAAGAAAACTAGCAAGACGACCCACAAATATTGCAGGCAATCTAGATAGTTAGCACTTTGGGATCAGGAATCCAGCTCAAAACATGAAATATGATCAGAAGGGTATACACGTATAAAGGGTCTGGATTCTACACTTATTCTTTGTGTATTTTTCATGAAGTTTCAGTTCACCTATTGTGTTTTAATTAACTTTTTGATTAATTGCAAATTTTCAGCAAACCACCACTTATAAATTCGATTTACCTATAGCAGAACTCCCTGTCATGAAAAGTTCACAGGAATATGCATGACAGGTGCCTATTATATATGACGATACTATAATGATTAAATTGAATAATCTAGCTTCTTATATAATTATGTGGAGGGAGGCTTTTCTTCAACCATAGTTCAGCAGAATCACTTAATCCTGCAACACAATTGCAACTGGCACAATACATGGAACTGGTATTTGAAGAATCATTTCATATTCTCAATTTCCATCAACCTCCAGTTGACTGGAACTTAAACGTATTTTCTGAAAAAGCTCAATGATTCAATGAATGCTCCAATTTGGCCTAGGCCTAAGTTAGGCTTACATAAGCCTAGGTCTTCACCCACCTTTGCAAATGCATCATGCGGAAGAGACTGACTGAGATCCAGCTTGACATTCCCGAGATCATCAGGGTCTGACACCTCCGGCGATGCCGAAGAAGTTGCGATCCCCATTCCAATTCCTTCTGGGATTGTTGGCCTTCTCGCTCGCAGCTACCAGAGCGATAAAATCAGCTCCAGCCTGCAGAACAGGAGAAACTCGCCCGCGGTCCTCCCACAGCAATACTTTCTCCGAAACGAGGCCACGTGTATGCTAGCCAGCAGACGATATCGATGACGTCACGGTGACAGTTGTTTCAATATGGTGCCCTACTGGGTCCTCGCATCGTTTGGGTATCGTGACTGTAATTTACCCTCCTTTTTTTTCACAATTCCGATACTCGATGTACAGCTTCGAAGGTGATTTTCGTCGGCATACTGTTCAGAGTAACGGGTGCGAGTAAGAAGGAAAGCCGGGATGATATCGTGCGAAAGGCGCAAGAGGAGAGGTGGAAGCGAGAGGTAAATAAACGTATTGGCAAGGGAAACCATACGAAAACTCGGTATGGACAAATTAGGAGAGCTGTATTTCTCAAAATACTAGCCTGGAAGTCGATTTTTTAATTATCTTAGTCCTCATCGGTCTGGTTGAGTCTAAATTCTTACCCACCGAATTTTCATATAATGAAAAGGGAATTGTATCAAATTATCATGGTAGTTTAGGGTTATCAGGAAGCGATAACGCCCATTTGGATACCACGTGTCGAGGTCGAGCGTTCCCTAATTTTTGGACAGACCTACTCCTCTTAAAGTAAAATATGGTTGTATTTTTGGAATATTTATTTTATTAATTTATTTTCTTTTTTTTTAGCATATCCCAGGCGCTTACTTCCTAGTCCCTTACGTCTACATTGCCCCCTTTTTGCTTTGTTCATAAAAGCATCTAGTCTCTTGATAAAAAAAATAGTGATGGCGCAGGGAAGCCAATACGTCATCGAACGCATTCCACGCGTTCAACACCCTACGAGTACAACAGTCCTGTCTCGACCCGAGCCGCACCTGCGGTTCACGCAACTCGAGTCAATTACCTCTCGTTCTCTTGCTGCCATCGAACTGGAAGAACCTACCACGCTCGACACGATCGATTAATTTAACGATGCTGAAAGCGTGAATGAGATCGCCCCTCGTTGACCTTCTCTCGAGCGAGTCCAGTCCCAACACGACTCAACGCTTCTCGTACGGAAGTCCAGTGACCTCCTTGATCGTTGTTGTGGACCTCCTCCGTACCCCAGCTCGAGCGCCAATAATTCACCCTTATTTGTAGGCCTTCAAAACTGGGGTCGCACCAACGACGGAAGAATAAGGGGCCATGCACACCAGTGTAGGAAAAATGATTTTTTTCTTCCGGCAACCCTGAGGAGACAGATCGGAATTTCCCGGGAAGGATATGCAAGCAGGCCGTCTCCGACCTCCCGCGAACCTCATTCGCAGGTTCCCAAGGGTTTTCCAAACCCGAGTGCGCACTGACTGCGAAGAGCCGCGTTGCGACCACTGCGACCGTCGCAGTCGGTCGCAGTACGCTTCGCGATGGACGATTCCATCCCATCGCTTCTTCGCAGCGGTTCGCGCTGCGTAGCTATCCACTGCAAGATATGAAATCCTTGGATACTAAATTTGGCGGGAACGATTTCGGCGGTTGATGATGCCGATCATCGCCATTGATTTTCCACGAACGAGATGCATGGCTAGAGTAAATAAATCTTCAAGAAAGGTCTCGATGTCAATTTTATTCCGGATGATTTTCATTGTTTCATTCCATGAATACTAATTTTAATTTTTTTCTAAGTCGAGAAGCTCTTGTTAATCGGATGTAAAAAAAAAAAACCTGAGTCGTCCCCTCCTTCAGGAGAGTGCTGCATGATTTGTATGCATTTGAGATATTCAGAATATATTTATGGAGTGTGAATGTCCCAAACTCGATGACACTGCCACCATTTGGATTACGTGGAAACGTGGATTAGTTACTTTGTCACTCCAAGCAACTGAAACAACAAAGTTTGGTAAGGAGAAGATGAGCTTCAACCAAATGTCCTCAAGCCTTGGTTTTGCTACAGGCAGAGGATTTTTCAATTATTATTATATTTTTTTAAATTAACGAGGGCCTGAGGTTTTGGACGTATTGCATGAGGGGGGTACCAATCCCAATTTTATTCTGGAGTTGCGCTCCCCAAGGTTTTGGCGGCGAGGAAAATCCAAAGACCACTTGGAACGGAATTTCGCGCGATCACGACATTCCTTCCAGCCATAAAGCATGGGTTTGGAAGAAAATGAAGTCGAGGTCTTCTTCATCCACCTTATTCCCCTGATTTAGCCACCCTGGACTTCTGTCTGTTCTCGAAGCTCGAAGAAAACATGGCCAAGAGACAGTTTCATTGAACTGAATACTCCCAATTTAAAGTCCCGGCTGGAAACAACTATAATTTCCAGCTGGAAAGTAGCCATCTCCAGATTTGTTCCTAATTGCTATATCATTAGCTGAATGAGAATCTTTTTGCTGACTATTTTTTTCAGAGGTCCATCTACAGGAACAGCTGATTTTTAACTGTAAATTTAGCTACATTCCAGCTGTAGGGTCCTCTTGATAAAATTCCAACTGGAAAATTTCCAGCTGGAAACAGCTATTAAAACCAGCTGCAATCCAGTTGGAAAATTCCAGCTAAGAAACAACTGGTATCTACTATTTTGGTTTTTGCTCTTTGGCAGCTGGAAATGGTCCGAATTTACGGATTTGGTCCAGCTGGAATATTCCAGTTGGGATTTTTTAAACAGGGATTGCTGCAAAAAAAAAAGCCAATGAAATGGCATTTCCAAAGTAGTTCAGGAGAATTCAAAGGGGTGGAATGTTGATGGGGATGATGTTGAAGAACCCTGAAGTTTTCAACTTCCGGTCGGTAAAAATAAAGAAGCTTTTGAGTTGCAGTCACTATCTATTGAACATCCCTCATATACTGGTAAATTTCTTTCCCCGAAAAAAAAGTACTGGAGCGATTTTTCTGGGGGAATGTTTTTTTTCTAGGATAAAAAATATCCCGGGACACCGGCGGCGTACTCCTGTGGGCAGCCGGAATCGCACCAAACGGAAATAAAACAAACGGGATCACCGGGAGATACTGGATCGGCTAAACGCGTGAGCGTTGGTCAATTTACAGAACGGGAACCCAAGTCATTTCCCAGCGCCGAAGTACCGCACGCCCGATCGCTCAATGATGAGGGGAAAACTGCCGGGGATGCTCTCATCCCGAGTAAGGAAGATGGAGATCGGAAATGTCAAATCCTGAGGAAAAACAGGACGTAAAAAACGGGGGAGAACCCCTGATTCCTCAGGTGTGTCGAATTCTATGGCCCTGGCCTTCATTTCCTGACACTTAGAAGCTCAAGTTCCGGCTTAAAATATAAAAATGACTTTGTATCTAGTCTCTTGTCATCGGTACGAAACGGAGAGAACTACTTACATTCAGAGAGTTAGTAATGAGGATCTTTTGACTGGGATGAAGGATCAGTAGAGAGAGCCTGGTCACATTTTTCGACGCATCTGATTGGCTGACGCGAATTACCGCCATTTCCGCTCCAGCTGCTGCATGGACCTTGCCAAGGATGCGAAGTGGCTTTCAGTTGATATTAAGCGATAATGTGCTGCGATGAAATGCTCGAACCGAAATGTTTCCGGCTGCTTTTGTCTCCGAAAGACAAAGAGAAGATCCCTTTGGGACGTGAAAGTGGAACGCGAAGATCGGAGGCCTTCAGCTCGATCTCGCCCATACGAGGTAGGCCTAAGGCGAAGCATTGCCGGCGAGACCGCTGCGGAGGCCGGGACGACGGAATCGTCGGCTCTCGACCGTTTCCCCTGAACCTTGCAGCAGTGCGATGTGCCGTCGGGACACTGCAATGATGGCAGTGACGTTTTCGTTTCTTCACTACTGACTTGGTATCTCAGAAAATTTTGACCATTTTGTTCTTTGCCCTATGCATAAACCCGTGTTTCATTTATACATTTATTTTCGTACGTCGGATTACCAGAATCGACAGGCCTACTTTGTAGAATACCACGACGAGGACAAGGCAACACTTTAGCAGTCTGTATGGTGCCGGCGAGAAATAATTTTAGCAGTGTTGAAACTCCAGCCACCTCATTCGCGTAAATAATACCTTTAATGACGCCACTTTGGTTTCCGCTTTTCGTTCGAGCAGCCTGAGCACATGAAACTTTGAGGAAAGAATTCTCGTCGAGTGTTTTCTATGTGACATGAAAAAATCGCGAACCTAGATCATCCATAGGGTTTTTTTTTTATGAAGCATCAATTGGGACTTTTTTGCGCCAACCGGTATTGGTCTTTGCTTGAAATGACTTGGCGAAAGAGGATGGATAATAATAAAAAACTGAGGCTGTGTGACACATCGGAAATATAGAGGGATCCCACTCGATTCAGCTGCCATTGGCATCTGGCTATTAGGAAGTACCTTCCGCAGTTTGAGTATCTCGTCGTGTGCAGACGAAATCCAGCATCCGCGATGGAATGGAATAGGACTGGACACTCGGAAGCCGCACGCTTGCACTTCGCGTATCAACATGGATGCCGATGTGCAGGCAGCGCTCCAAGCGGCTGCTGAGGAAAAACACAACATTGCCCCATTGTAATACATGTATTCCATTGGGTCTCCGATCGTTATTCTCTCAGTTTTTCCCTGTGGACCTTATCGGGAAGATGAACACCATGTAACCAAAGAGTAATGTTGTTGTTGCCGGTGAAAGTACTCATTCTTCAATATTATCAGGCATGGGAAAGAGGAAGGGGTCGAGAAGCAGCATGCCTCGGCGGACAGAGCTCTGGGCGTTGGGTGCGAGGTGCTTTGCTTGTTGGGCGTACGGTTTTCTGTGCGAACGTGAATGAAAATTTGTTGTAAGGAGCAAACTTGATGTTGTCCAACTTATCACAGCTTGATTTTGTGTTAGTGTTTTATGGAGGAAACGTTCATTTTCTGTTTCAGAATATAACCAGTTTTCATGAGTTATTCTCACAATTTTCATAATGAAGGCTGAGAGTTTATTTCCATTATATGTAGATGGATTTAGAGTGCCCTTGGACGTCTTTCAGGGTGAAGGAGCTCATCCTTAAGGCGCAAACATGGGCTCACATAACTTAATCTTCAATATTGACCTATTTTTGGGTCATGGAAATCTGAAGAAGTGTTTCCCTCCCGAGTTTCCGTCGGAATAATAACAATTAATAGCGGAAAACCCGCGTCCACCATGCTCCGCCATGGAAGACAGCGGCAGACGAATGCAGTTTTCCTCAGCGACCACCAGGTTCGCTGCCTGCACAGGGTGGATGACTGCTGATACGCGATTCCCAGAGGAGTGTCCAGTCCTCTTCTATCACTGGTCCTTGCCCACGATCGTGCCTCATATGCGGGAATCGGAACGATTCCCGAAAAGATTGACTGGGGGAGAATGGGAGGCAATGCACTGTGGAGCGAAAATTGCGCTTTTTGTTGAGATAGGCCAGTCAATATCTCTCCAGGGGATCCAAGGGTCAGAGGTCAGGCGTGACACCTAAGTGAGTGCGCTCGTACCACGACTTTCATCGATCGGCTCACAGAGCGCTCTTCCCCCACCCTCCCATATATAGGGCAGTTCTCCGGCAAGGCCTCTTGTTCCACTCCTTCTAGAGACCCCTGGTCTGACAAGGTGGGTCCTTGTGGCTGGCCGCATATCCGTCCAACCCACTGATCTATTCTATTACTCCAACCGACCATCAACAATTTCTATACCCCCTCCTGTATGTTCTACTTCACCCCACCTCATATCATTTTTTTTTTTAATGGGCACGTCTTGTAAATAAAGGCATTGAACAAAAAAGCCTCTCACCTCGTGCTGTGCCGGCTGGGCCGTTACATCATTGAAGACACTGGGGGATCTCCAGGTTTGATCTTCCCAATTCTGATGAAGCACAGACGCCAAAATATTATATCAAAATACTCTTATTACTAATTTGGTTAGTCTAGCTTTCGGTATCAGTCAAGGTATCAAGGTAGTTAGTGATATCAAGAGGTGATTTCGCCCATTTCGATATCACGTGTCGAGGTCGGGCGTTACTTAATTTTACGGTAGGCCTAGTCCTCTTAAAGCTTAATATTTTTGTATTTTGGGGATTTTTTTGTTTTTGCGTATCCTAGTTGCTTACTGCCTAGTACCTAACTCAAACATTGCCCCCCACATTTTTTCCTGCAATAAAAGCATCCAGTTTCTTCCTTAAAATAGTCACAGAAGGGGCAGCCACTAACACTTCGTCATCTAACGCATTCCACTCGTTCACCACTCTGCAATTAAAGAATTATTGTCTCGACCTGAGCCGCACTTGCGGTTTACGCAACTTTAGTTGATTACCTCTCGTTCTTTTGCTGCCATCGAACTGGGAAAACCTACCACACTCGACATGATCTATTCTTTAATTATCTTGAAAGCCTGGATGAGATCGCCCCTCCTTGACCTCTCTCTCTCTCTCGTACAGTCCCAACACTACTGAACGCTTCTCGTACGGAAGTCCAGTGACCTCCGTGATCGTTGTTGTGGACCTCCTCTGTAGCCCCTCGAGCGCCAACAATTCACTCTTATTTGTAGGCCTCCAAAACTGGATGCAATATTCCAACTGGGGTCTCATCAGCGCCGCATACAACGTAAGAATAACGCGCGAAGTCCTACTTGCAACCGAACGACGAATGAAACCTAGAATCCTGCTGCATTTGGCCACCGTCACTTGCGCTGGCGAGGAAAACTTGAGGTCATCGTCGATAGAAACTCATAAACCTCTCCTTTTGCCTCCCCCCAGTTTAACCTCGCCGAACGTGTCGAGAGACCTGCCATTATTTCGACCGACGTGGAGAACTTTCCACTTACTTTTATTAAACCTTATGAGCCATTTCTTGCTCCACTCATCCAAAAGACCTCTGTCGACGCTTCCCCATTTACCATCACTCGTTGCTCTCTTCCCGTCAACCAGCTACTGATCCACTCGCTCGTCCTACACTGGATCCCGTGGGCTTCCGGTACATGGAACTGGGAATAGAATCATTTCATGTTCTCAGTTATCCATCAACCTCCGGTTGACTGGAATGAAACCTGTTTCCTGAAACTGCTCAGTGTTCATATAAGGCCTAGGCTTAAATTAGGCTTACATGGACCTATACCCACCGTCTTTAGCCCACCCTTGCGGTCTGACACCTCCGGAGATGCAGAAGAAGATGCGATCCCTATTTCGAATCCTTTTGAGATTGTTGGCGTCTTCGCTTGCAGCTACCAGAGCGATAAAATCAGCTCCAGTCTGTGGAGTAGGAGACACTCGTCCGCGGGTCTCCCGCAGTCATACTTTCTCCGAAGCGAACCCACGTGTATTCTGTGAAGCAGACGATATCCATGACGTCACGGTGATGTTGTTACAATATGGTCCCCTACTGGATCCTCGCATCGTTCTGAGCGCCAGTTTCCGAGACATCGCGGGTATCGTGGCTGTGATTTCTTCGTTTTTTTTTCTGCATTTCCGATTCTCGATGTACAGCTTCGAAGGAGATTTTCGTCGGCATCCTGTTCAGAGTTACAGGGGTGCGAGTAAGAAGGAAAGCCGGGATGATATCGTGCGAAAGGCGCAAGAGGAGAGGCGGAAGCGAGAGGTAAATGAACGTGTCTTGGCAAGGGAAACCATACGAAAATTCGGAACGGACAAATTAGGATAACCTCGTTTTTCAAAGTACCAGCCTAGAAGTCGATTTTGGGATCTTAACCCCTGTTGGTCTGGCTGGATCTAAAATCCAATGCATTTAATAAAAAAGGGAAATGTGTAGGTGTGGAGCTTTTCTGCGGCCATAAAAGTAAAAATTTGAGGATGTTTTTCTTGGAGAGAAGTTCACAACCATGGTGTACAGAATTTGCTATCATACATATGTATGTAACTTTTTAGTCAGGTGAAGATGAGAATTGCCCCAAAATGTTTCTGAAACATCAAATTAAGAATCACCAAGATCAGAATATCAGTTTAAGCAACGTTATGAAGGATTTCCTTTGCCACGATATGAATGGTATATTTATGCTTTGCTAGACCTGATGTTAGGGCTGGGCTGATAGCATTTTATGAATTTTGTACAGTTGGAGAGAAAAAAGGAAGAATGTGCACTTCGAATTGAAGCTTTTGTCAGGGGTTGCCTAGCAAGAAAGAGAATCTACAGGGATTTGAGGAGCCGATTTGATGAACTGCAGAAGGAAGTGGCTGCAGAAAGTGGTAGGGGCTTGACTCAGAAGGAAGAGGTCTTCCTTACCCTTGTCCAGTGGTTGGTGTACTTTTTTCGCCAGCAGACTGATCAAAAGAGATTGGTGAGTCAGAACCAACCAAAGGCTGCAGTTCATGCCTGTAAATGTATTTTTTCACCCTGTCAACATTTTTTTTTACACCTACCATCCATAAAAATTTCCATTTTAAGTCCTAGAAGGCATCCTAGACATGAGTCAAAAGCAAAACCATAAAGACATAAAAAAAATTTCCAGTCTAAAATAAATCCAATTAGTCCGTTTTTCAAGGAGCTCTTTAATTTTAAATCAAAGCGCTCAAAATTGACCTGAAATTTTATGTATAAATGATTAGGATGAAAAAAAAATTGGTTATTTTGATCTAAGCCACACACATGTTGCTGTGGCCAATGGAATTGAAGTGTAAGCATGCACTAGAAATAAAGACTTATGAAAAACCCTCCCACTTTAAAAGGATAACAAATGTGATAAAATAATTTCGAAAAATTTTGTCTTCATTTGGAAGTGAGCCATTAAGAAGGAATTGATCATGCAGATGTTAATGAGTCTATATAAAATGCTACCTTTTATTTTTCTTGTCTTCTGCAAGGAGAGAAAGATGAGGATTTTCTTGCCATTTCAAGGACCTTACATAAAATATATTAGTAATATCCTTTCTGATTGAAGAAGAAAAAGTCATGAAGTACCTAAAACTCCTATTGTGCAACATGATTGCCAATGATATAATATGCATTTTTTCCTTACCAAAAATAATATTAAGGCATGATTGTCTTACAATGTAGGATTGGCTGGCAAGCTTCCTGATGAAGAATCAAAAGCAGATTTCTTCTTGGAGACAAGAAAACCCTGCTGTGTGGAGGAGGAAGTTACAATGGATACTGCATCTGAGCTTGAGGCATTTGTCGCAAACTGGAAATCATTTCCTCCCACTTCGCCTTTTGGAGATCTTCACCCAAAATGAATCAAATGCCAAGGAACTCTTCTTCTTCCTCATCAAGAGAGGTACAACCTGCAGGATGAAATCTTCCTGCCTTATACCAGTCATAGTGATGTGTGCATAGTCCAGTACCTTTAATTGAGTTTTTCTTAAACCAGGCTATTACACTGATTTGCGCCGACTGTTGGACCAGAGAGTCCCTCCTGTCATTGATGCTTCTCCAAATCCGCCAACACCTTTGGCTGATTGCATCTATGACCTCATGGTTCGACCGCTTGCGCTCATCAAAGATTCTGCCATCGATTCTCCATTCACGTCAGTTGACATTTTCAGTGTTTGGATTCTCCCTTTTGACTTCACGTTTCCCTGTATTTTCCAATTTCTTCCTAAATTAGTCTCTCCTGTCTTGGAGCTCTGAATGGGCAGGTGCTGTCAACTCCATACTCAGAACAAGTGGAACTATTCCTACTCCCAGCTCTGAGACAAAGAACTCCCAACTTTCCATTCAAAGAGTTGCTGGCTTTCCTGTCCCGTCCTGAGGCCTCCCTGGAAGTCCCATGGACGCTTTATTCCATTCTATACCTTGGAATGCGTCATTTACGTCAGTTGATGCCGACTCTTCTTTACTTGAGCCTGTTTGTGTTTGCTCACATTAGTATTGTTGCTAGTCTGGCTGGCATTCTTCTTGTGCCAGGTGTTTCACTTTCTAATCTTGCTCTTTCTTAACACATCATTTTTATCTGTAATTATCAGTGCAATAAATTATTTGCTCTCACACTAGTGATGTCAGTGCTGATTGGCAACCAAATAGTTGTTTATTTGGAGATGTGATCTTGTATTTGATGAGGATTTGCATGTATTTTCCCCCCCCCCTTTCAGATTGGACTGATGACCCATCAAGTATGGCCTACTTACAAGTCCTCAGTCGTCTCATGCGGGAGTTTCCATGCAGGAGCTTCTTGCAAATGCATTATGGATCAGATGAACCTAGCTCAGATGGAGAAGATGAGGAATCTACCATGGAAGTGGACTTTTCAACCGATCAACACAGTTCTCTCGAGGCTCAATGCCTGGAAATGCTGAACAACCCAGAACAAGTGAAGGAAATAGTTTTGACTGTTGTTCGTCTGCCCAACCCTGTCACATTTCATGTGGCCAGCATTGCTTATGGTCTCCTGTGTTATCATTCCAATGCCATGCATGAGTACAGGTTAGTTTTAGAATATCTACATCTAGTCAGCTCATCCTTTCTGTCCTGTTTCCAATCGAGCTCATTTTATTCTGCACAACAGGCTCTTGCAGACTCTGGCTCTGCAGCCTCTGTTTCTCCAGAAATTATGGAGACACCTTCACGATGGAAAGTCTTCAGCAAGCTCAAGCCCAAATTTCTACTCCCAACTCAAGCAATTGTCTTCTGGAATCAATCTGAATGCAGAAGACAGTGATGGCCTTATTCCCCTCTTGGCTAGCTTCCCAGCTTCTCTATCCATTCTCTTCCTTCTCCTCAATGATGAGGAGCTCTTTGGCAGTCCAGGTTTGTTATCTTCGCTATCTCTTCTTTTTTAAAATTATAAATGCACAAAGGAGCAAAGGGAGAAGAGAAACACGTTGTCCTCTTTGCCCACGACATGCATTTGTAACATTGAAAGAGAGCAAAGTTCCTTTGGATAACATATACCTTGTGTATATTTGTTCTTCTTCAATGTCTGTTAATTTTGTTGACTAGGTGCAATGTGGGTTAACATAATCAGGATGGTAACATCCATCCATCCATCCAGGAATTCATACCCATTGAATAGGATACCCTGTCAGAGTCATATATTTGAACTTTGCTAAAGTTTTTCTGAACAAGAACCCATAGACTTAATTTGAGGCACATGGCATTAAAGATATGATGAGTAAGTGGATCAGTTACTAATTATTGAAGAGATTGCAGAGAATAAATGTTAAATTTCTTGAGAATTTGAGGCTGAGTTGGGTCTCTCCCAGCCATACCTAGGGATTATTTCTGTTTGTCATTGAAAAGAATGGGGCTTTGGGGTTTTTAAAATGAAAATTGTAAATTTGCTGATGACGTGACGAACTTCTCTTTCACTTGGGAGGAAGATTAGGCAGGAGTCAGTAGCTTAGATTATTTGGATGAAGTTTAGGAAAGTGATGGTTCTTTTACTATTTGAGTGAAAGTGAAGTTCTCTAAATTGACCATAGTGACGAGATCTCTGATTGCTTTTGATGAGGATAGATTTGGCATGTTTTTTGGATTTTGAGGGTAGCCATCAATGTGGGATTGAATTTTTCTGGCACATGAAGGTGGCTGAAGAATGAAACACGATTGTCAGCTTCATTCAGATTTCTGCAGCCAATTGGGAGCTTCCATGTTATTCTTCCCCTGTACTTGTTATTGGTGAGGCCCCATTAGTGTGTTCACTTTTTCAGGCTGCAATAATGCAAGATTTCATAGCATCAGGGAGGGCTTGGAAGTGGATGCTAAAATATGAGGACTTCCTTATGATTGCCATTAAGATCCATTGAAACTGCTGCTAAGAATGCTAATCACAGAGGATCTTGTCCAGTCAAATTCATTATAGGCTTTGATAATGTGGAACATGGTAGGTGCTTCCAGCTCTAGGTAAAAACAAAACCAAGGGGAATTAATTTGAGTGCATTAACCTCAAATATGACTCAATTAAGTGAATGACTAACACTAGTCAGGTATTAAATGTGTGGAATGCATTAGATGAAGATGTACCTGACTCTTCAATTGGTAGTTTTAAGGAGAAATTAAATGGTTTCTTGGATGAAAAAAAAGGAGGGTAATATGGTTTTGAGTGCCAAATTGGGAGATTGTCATGTTCCCATCATAAAAATTTATCTTTATTGCAGTAGGCATATTTTAGATTGAAGAGGGGTAGCTTGGGGTGGGATGAACTCTTTCCCCCAACTTGAGATATGAATGGACAGAAATGCTCCTTGGCATCTCAGTCAAAAACGTTGATGTCTCCAGCTGTAATTCTTTATTGAAAATGAAGGATGAGATGGATATGAAAAAGGACCTTCCTGGATTCAATTTTTTTTAAGCATTAGAAATGTGCTTGAGAGCATTACTGATGACCCACAGTCAACCTCATCCTTTCATAATCCATTTCAGCAGTCTGCTATGGCATGATAATAATTCACATTCAATGGTTTTTGTGCCTGAGAATGCTGAACTTGTGTTTTCTGTAATATTTAGACTCAATATAATTGCTCAATCTGGCTGGTTTGTGACTTCTGTAGTTTTTCTGTAAAAAAAACATCACTGAAGAATTTGAGTTTATGTATTGAATACATTTCAAGTTGGATCATTTGCAACAAGACAGTCACTCTGTATCTTTCTTGTACTAGACTAGGAAACTGAAGAATTCTTTTGTTGCACACTTGAAGATCCTGTGAGTTTCTCTGCAGGCACATTAGAAGGCTTTGACATTGTTAGTTTTCTCTCAATTTCATGTAGAGTTTGTCCTTTTGTTTCTGGTATAAAGAGAATGCACATGATCCCCATGATAAGACAACTGGCACAATAGAAGAAGAAAGTTCCATGGTTATCCAATCCTTTCTGGATAGATGGGTATAGTTGCAAAACCAAGAAGGAAAACAGGGCATTGCAGCTAAAGCATATACTTATTGCCTGATTGCGGATCTGTAATGGAATGCACTCGCTCACTAGCACAAAAACTACTCCACTTATTCCCAGGGAAAAACCTGCAACAAATAGACACAACATAAGAATGGGGACCCAGTACAGTGTTTTTAGAGTTTCAATTCCCAGTTCATTGTCCAGGAAGTAGTGAAAAAGTCCAAAGCCAAAATGAGCAAAGGTCATGAGGAAGGAGGAGATGATTGAGAGGTGCCTACGTCCTACACGGTCCATGAGGAGACAGGAGATGATGAGAAATTTGAATAGTGTGACTGAAGCTACTGGCTTTAAATAGTTCCATTGGAAAATGTCTCTGAAATGAGATCTTGTTTCTTGGGATTCATTAATATGCCTGATGACTTGGTCCATTTCTGTGGTGACATCATAATGTGGACCTCGAAGCCTCCTAAGGGCTGCAGCTGCCTCTTCATGCCTTTTGTGCAAGAGGAGGAAAGTAGGTGAATCTGGCACAAAGAGGAGTGTGGGGACTAATGCCATGGGGATTAGACCAAGAGTCAGGGCAAGTGCTCTCCATTCCAAAATAGTCCCAAGGATGTAAGCAAGCATTGTTCCAAATGTGAAGCAGACCATACAACTTGAGGTCAAGAGGCCTCTTTGGTTCTTGTGTGCAATCTCTGCAACATATAACTGAGAAATAGGGATTCGAATTCCATAGAATATGCCTTGGAGAGTTCGACCAATCATAAACATGAACAAGTTCGGTGGGTATGCCATCATGATCCAGGCAGCAAATATTGGGAAGAGGAATATGATGAGAAGCCACTTGCGACTCCAGCGGTTAGCAATTAGGGCAGACATCAAACTCCCCAGAAGCTCTCCAAGACCAACAATGCTCACTGCAAGACATTATACAGATCGTTCACAATAGTATTTTTCTCTATTGTGGGACTAAGGGTTCAAAAGAGAGCATTTATTTCAAAAGTATCTGAAAATCTTCAAAATCTATATTATACAGTTCCCTCAAATGTATGAATGACTTCATGAGTTCCAATCTGGCTTTTCTTTCACATTCATGACTCCCTCCTTAAAAGTTTTGAATTACTTCATTCCAGTCTCTTTTCATGTAGAATTTTTCTATCCACAGTTCAATTGAAATCTGAATTGTCATTTTATTAAGCAAAAGCACTGCTAAAGACAGTCTTCCACTTTCAGGAATATGTGGGTCACTCAGAAAGTTTTGAGATATAGAAGGAGAAATAGATGAAATTTCATTTCAATATCTACAGCTTTTCAAAGTGCTCCTCAAAAGATTTCTTACAGCCTTTTACCCTGTAAAGCCATCTCTCAGAGTAACTACACCATTTCTCCTTTGCCACCTCTGCTTCCTGCTTCCTCTTAGGCAATGACAGCATCTTCTGGACTTAGGAACCGCCTCCCTTGCAAAATTAAAATCGTTGTAAGGGTCCTAATAAGGCCTTTAGGGTGGAAAGGTGACCTGGCGAACAAGAGTTTCTTCCTTTTAGACCACAGTCCCTGTTGCCTTGCTGCTGGAGGAATTGTTGTGATGCATTATGAGGCCCTGAAGCCCAGGGTGTGGTCTTTTTTCTTGTGCTTTTTCTGAAACTTTTGGCAGGGATTGTGTGATTTACCACTCAGCATTCACTATTATTCAGTTCTCCAGTAAAACTATCACCACATGACCGCTGACATTAGAAAAAGTGGCAACTATCTTCTTCCCCAAACTTCTTTCCCTTTTCACTGTGGCAGGGTTGTCATCCTTATGGAACTCCCAAACTGCATATTCCCCCTTGTTTCCAGGTCATACTGGTAAATCCATTATATCTCCCCAGTGCAGGCTAAGAAAACCCTTGTGAACCTGCTAATGAGGTTCTCGAGAACGGAGACGTGCAGACGGGCGGCCTGCTTAGTCCGGTTGCATATCCTTCCTGGGAAATTCCAATTTTTCACCTCAGGTTTGTGGAAAAAAAAAGATTTTCCTACACTGCCCCAGTGTAAATGTCAAAGCTTAGTTTTGACATTTCTTGCAAAGTTTAGAGCATGTAAAGAATGTTGAGACATTCTTTTTTGCTCATCTGGCAAGTTGTGGGGCCCCAACAGCAAGACGTTTTCCTGACTTGAAAAAATCTATGCCGGATTTCTGCAACATTCTCCAATCCAATGTTCAATTTCTCAATATCTTGGTGTATGTATATTCGATCTCCTTGAATCATAGCTTCCACTTTCTGGATGTTTTCTTCAGTGAAAGCAATTGCAAGTCTTCCACTGAGGGAATCATCTCCAATTCTTCCCATCTTAAAATTGGCAAAGCAGTGCAAAACTACAGCCATGGAAGATGCTCTCTCCCAAAACGTTATTTGCAAAATGACAAGATACTGCACTTAATATCAAGCACTTATCTGGTCATAGAGAATCATGACAAAAAAATACCAGCAAGTTCAATACTGCATTGATATAACCTACTCTTTTAGATGGATTCAGTGGGAGAACCTCTGAAGGACTGGTTTACTTTGGAACAAAATTCCCAAATAACAAAATATATGGAAAAAGGAATGAGTGATGAAACTGACCAAACAAGGCCTTGACTTCAGTTGAAAGGGTGAAGGGAGCATCTTTGTCCTTTTCCAAGGAGGGTATTCCCACAGAAGCAAAGCCTATGCTGAAGCCACCAATTATTCCATTCATGGAACCCAGGATTGATGCATGGAACTAGAGGCAAAAGTACAATGAAGTTTTGTCAAAATATGTGTAGCAGGTCTATATCCGCTGCTTCCAAAATGTGTAAGAACATTGCATAGAATGAGTACCTGAGGCAAGAGTCTTGGTTTGGCATCCATGGCAGGTGAAAAGTACAGGAAGAAACCAGTGGGACTGAGGACAAGCCTTTGAGAGATATGGTTTACCTATTGAATGGTCACAGAGTTTTGACATGTTTTAAACTACTAAACAAAGGCATATCTGCCTTGTTTAGTAGTTTCATAAACAGCAATCATGATTGCTTTGGGAAATGGTATACTACATGATGTTATGTCACTCATTTGTAATGGTTATTTCAATACTTGGTTCTTTGGGATTTTGAATCCCTTATGTGGAAGGTTCAATGACTTGAGTGTGTCACTAGGTTTCCTTTCATGTAAAATCCACCGGAAGGTGTAATGTGAAAAAAAGATCGATTGATTCCTTGCAGAGGAATAATAATGCGGAATCTGCACTGCATCGTTGGTGATAGGTTGATAGCATAGCCTTTCCTTTATTTATTTTCATTGTGATGTGCTTCTGCGAGAAAGCATTGACTAATATGAAGTCAGAGCAGGCATGCCAAGTATCGCACGTGAAAGAGTTGCTTTTTTCACTTGAAGGGTAATCAAATATGGATTAATTTCTTGTCACTACACCTACTCATATGTCATATTGCTATTATTATTTATTCAGATGAAAAAAAGTTGGTACTGATAATAAATATCCCAGGGATATATGTCAACACGTTATGCATCCAATATCTGCTTCAGCGGTATAAGCGTCTTTTTTTTTTCTTAGTTTATCAAGTGATTATGATCAACGGCAACTGCTGCTTTGATTACTGGAAAAAAAAATCGTACTCGTATCAAACCAGAAATCTTTCTCTCAATTTGCGCAAGAAGTGTTTATCTGGTGTCATCTACCAAAAAAAAATTTTTTCCTCGTTATTCTTCATGGAAAGGAAAGATTTCCAATGACTACCAGATGTACAATCCAATTTAGATGGGATCTATTGGAAAGGAGATTTGGAAGCTCTTTACATGTTGACGGTTCGGGTAGGGACGCAAAGAGGCATTTTATCCCCATGTGACATCCCGTGTGAAGGTGGAGCCTTAACCCACATTGTGCCACGCTTTCCGGCGAGGGATGCGCGAAATGTTTTCGCCGAAAACGTAGCATTTTACTAAATATTGTTCGTACATTTGTATTTTTCCTCCATTCCATCATCCTGTAAGGAACCAGCAGCAAGAAAATTTCGCGGTCGAAATATCGGCCTGTGGCACTAAAAGGGTTAATTTCGGAAGAAGCCTGTCCCTCTTAGAGAGAGATATTTTTGTAAGAGAGCATATCCACTTATACTTATTTACTTAATAGCTATACTGCTCCCAATTTCGCTATGTCCTCGAAAGCACCTAGCCTCTCCTTAAAACTAGAAACGGAAGAGGCTGCCACTACGTTATCGCCCAACACGGTGTTTCTCAACCTTTTTTGATGCGCGGCACACTTCGACATAAGCCTCATTCTGCGTGGTTCACATGGCACGGCACGGCACACGGCACATTCTCTTGGCCGCAGCATGCAGCTTTCACTTCCAGTATTATCCCGTGACGATAATTTATTTTTAGCATGTTCCGATGCTTTTTACTTTGGTTGAGATGTCCTTGTTTTCTTCAAGGAAAAGGAACAGGTTAGCTGACGCTGAGAGTGGTCGCTCGACGAGTGATCTCGGCCGCAGTGTCGCCACGCCAACAGTGCAAACGTAGCAGTTGGAAACAGAGCTGAAGACTGCTGGAAGTGCCCTAGGTCGAGTGCAGTTTCGGACAGATGGAGAAAATTCGCACGATACAACGGTTGAGAAGCACTGACAAAACGCATTTACAGCCTTAAAAGCAAAGCAGTCTTTCTGCAACTTGAGACGCGTTTGGGTTTGACGTCACTCGAATCGGTGCCCTGAAGTCACCATGGAGTCGGAAATTGGCCTTGAAATTGTTGATGTAAACCAAGAATAAAATAGTTCCCGTATCACACCCTGGGGTGCTCTGCTCGCGACTCGTACTTCCCCCGACGCGTCACCCTTTATTTATTTTTCTATCTATCTCTTTGACAGCCGTTCCGACGGTTATTCACCCTACGTGGTAATCACTTGTTGTTGGGTTGCAGCAGAGAAAGCGAGAGTCATCAAGCGATGCTCCAGAGTACCACTTCTCCGACACCCCTTTGGGGTATATTCAAACATTGTTACCGTGCCTCATTTTACCCTCATTTTGTCGGGAGTATGATGGTTCTTGTTAATACAGATGAGGTGATGAAAACCGTGCCATGAAAACCGCGTTGCGGCATGGCGGTTTGGCCTGCATGACTTTGTCCAGGTACGGTCCGTCGTGGCAAGGGAGTTGAGCACGTCGGGGTTCTCACCTCGCTTCGCTTGCGTGCGATGACTTCGAGGCGAGCGACCGACGAAGCGGTTTCGGGTAAGAGAAAGGTTTGCTGGCAGTCTTCCGCGAACTGCATTTTATGGGTCGGGATGTGGACGATCAGGTTATTGGTGTTCTTTGGTGGGCCAAGAGCGCGCTTGAAGAAAGGGTGCTTTATGCGGTCGAGTGAGCGTAGATCCGGGGTGGTGAGGAATTCACTGAATTCTTCAGAGAGAATTCAGTGCGTACGTTGCGATAGGCTTGATTTTGATGCTGAAGAGAGCCGAGGCTGTTTTGAGGGACAGATTTATAAGATTCTTGATGGAAAATGCTGCCACAGCACAGGTTTGCACTTTCTTCGTGAGGTGTTTTGAAAAACCGCATTTCAAAAGCCTTTCGATTGAAAGGCAACACCAAGGTATTCATTGGCCGGGACAATCTGTACTTTCGTTCCGTTGTATAGGAATTCGTCCGTGGACGCCAGGTGGCCGCCTCTTCGGAATTTCATTATTTGAGTCTTTGAGGTGTTGATCTGGATTTCGTTTGCCGAAGACCATTTCTTTATCGAGTCAAGTGAGACTTGGTTGGCAGCATGATGTCGGGAGTATATGACCGTGTCGTCGGCATACAGGAGGAGGTTGATGGGGTGATTGGTCAGAGTGGCATCCGACTTGAGTTGCTTTATGAGATTGCATGTGTATAAGGTGAATAGTAAAGGACTTAGCGAGTCTCCTTGGGGAGCCACTTGCGTTTGTGGGATAGGAGGTGTTGGACGAGTATGATCATCGATCTGGATCAGGAATTGAGTAATCCTTGTTGCCTATTCTTCATAACGGTTCGTAATGGCAGGAATGAATGGCAGGACCACTTAGAGGGGGGGGGGGGGGGGGGGCGGGCTCCAAGGCGCATCCGGTTTAGTTTTGCCCTGGGCCTCTGGAAACCTCTGGGCGGGCCTGTGTAATGGTATTGATACTTCCTGAGCGAGTTCCTTAATAACACATGCTTAATAATAGATTGTAAATGTTATTTAAGCGTGCTTGAACTCCATTGAGTTGGAATGAACATGCAAGAAATTGAAAAAATGAATTTAATTGGCAATCTAGTTGTCAGATGGTAATGACTGCATAGGATGTTTGCCTCATTAAGTGAGGCAAACTGGAATTTCAACGTTTTATTGTTTCATACAGAGATAGGACTATTGCTTTGACATATCCTTTTTGCTTGTAATAATCTCATTAACTGGGAAACTGTTGTTTTGGAGTAGAGGACACTGTGGTAAGGTCTTGAGACACATTTGGAGGTTTTGACATAGTCAGTTTCTGCTCAATTTCATGGAGTGTTTGCCCTTTTGTCTCTGTTAAGAAGAAAATGCATATTATACCCATGCTTAGACAGCTGGCACAATAGAAGAAGAAAGTCCCATGGTTGTCCAGACCTTTCTGCATAGATGGGTATAATTGCAAAACTAAAAAGGCAAACAGTCCATTAAAGCCAAGGGATACACTTGTAGCCTGATCGCGGATCTGCAATGGAATGCACTCGCTCACTAGCACAAAAATTACTGCACTCATTCCCAAGGAAAATCCTGCTACAAATAGACACAGCATTAGAATGGGAACCCAGTACAGTTTTTTGAGAGTGTCTATTTCCATTTCATTGTCTACAAAGTAGTAATAGAGTCCAAAACCAAAGTGGGCAAAGGTCATGAGGAAGGAGGAGATGATTGATAGGCGTTTACGTCCTGCACGGTCCATGAGGAGACTGGAGATGATGAGAAATACAAATTGCACAGCTCCAACACTTATAGTTGAAATGTTTGAATTGCCAAAGCCCTCTCCTGCAGCCTCAAAAATTTCAACTGTGAAATTGAGCACCACGAAAATCCCTGTCATTTGACGAAGCAACATGATTATTGTCACCAACCCAACAGGTTTTAGATAGCTCCATTGGAAAATGTCTCTGAAATGAGATCTTGTTTCTTGGGATTCTTCAATATGCCTGATGACCTGGTCCATTTCTGTGGTGATATCATAATGTGGACCTCGAAGCCTCCTAAGGGCTGCAGCTGCCTCTTCTTGCCTTTTGTGCAAGAGGAGGAAAGTAGGTGACTCTGGCACAAAGATGAGGGTGGGGACTAATGCTATGGGGATTAGACCAAGAGTAAGTGCAAATGCCCTCCAATCCATGAACATCCCAAGGATGTATGCAAGCATTGTTGCAAATGCCATGCAGACCATATTACCAGATGTCAGGAGGCCTCTTTGATCTTTATGTGAAATCTCTGCCACATATAATTGTGAAATTGGAAATTGAATCCCAAAAAAGATTCCATGGAGAGCCCTGGCTGTCATGAACATGAACAAGTTCAGTGGGTATGCAACCATGATCCAGGTGGCAAGTAATGGGAAGAGAAGTGTGATGAGCAACCACTTGCGACTCCAGCGTTTTGCAATCAAGGCCGACACCAGGCTTCCCAGGAACTCTCCCAGAGTCACAATGCTCACTGCAATGCATAATCGAAATGACATATCAATGGTTTTCTTAACCCTTTTTGGTATTTTTTATTTTTAACACTATGGAGATGATTGCACCATGTCTGACAATGTACTGCAAAGGGTTAATTGTTGGAAGAATGCCCTTGCTAAAAGAGCTTTTCTCTGATGAGATTCTGGGAAATTTTAAAATCTATGACTTGCTGTCTTTGCTCACATATGATTTTCATGAGTTCCATTTTCCAACTTGAAAATTGTCCAGCATGAGATGAAAAAGTCTCACGCTGAACAGTTTCTTTGAAGTTTCTCTCAGTGAAATATAAAAAAGTGTTTCATCCAGTCTCTCTTTTACTTTCACAATTTGATGGAAATTAGTTGCATTCATGGAGGTCATATGCAATAAAATCAGAGCCAGCATAAATTCTTTTTCTAGTAGGGTGTGGCTACTNTTTTTTTTGCCTGGTTCATGCTGTGCTGCTTCTCATAAAAAATAACATTCATAACAATATTCCAATGCTTCTTGCCAAAACTCTGACTTGAATAGCTTAAGTGTTCTTGTAGGACAAGTTGTCTCTGAGGTCTAGTGTTGCAAGGCACCCTTTTCTGGCCTGACAACACAAATTTAATCATCTGCAGGCTATCCTGTCATTTATGCATTTTGGGAATTTTGATGTTTTTGGTGACTTTAGAAGGTCTCATTAAGATCAAGAGAATCTATATTTCCCCTATTATAAAATATGTATGTCCTGAATGACATAAACTCCTACTTCTGTCAAATTGAAAGACATTTGAAGGATGCAGAGAATCCATACCATTATAGGTACTGATTATTGCAGCTGTGAAAATGGTCTTACATTCCTTGTCCTGTCCTCCACCTCATTGCAAATGTTGACATATTTCCCTTAACTTAGGGAAGTCCATAGTTTGTGTTGTCCTTCGACATCAAATTCTCCCCCTTTGCCCAAATAGATTCCAATTCTGAGTTAAACCAGCAAGCATGCCTAGAAGCATGCATCAAAATCATCATTAAGGATTCATCCATGATCTATAACAATGGAATCCCTCCCATTAATCTTGGTCATTGTTCAGCTGACTATATCTAGCCAATGTTTACAAAAAGCCTCTTCCACTAGTTCCGACTCCTTACCATCGAGCGTTTGCAGGTTCCTAGTCCTGATGCCCAAAGACTGTTGCCTAGGTTGTTTACCATGTAGTTTTTCTCTTGGTCTGCACTTAGGGCATTGTGCCAAAAATATGCTTTGGCCAGTGACAGACCAACTGGTAGGTTTGTATGTTGTTAAAGGGGGTCTGACTCACTCAGAAATTTTGGATTGCCTAGTTCTGATAGCCATTTAACAATAGTCACCCCGGAAGCAAAAATTAATATTGCAATCCTGGTAATCCTGGACAATGACTGATCCAGTTGGAAACTCCTGAGCTGAATGCATCCTATAAGTATTGATTTGTCTTGGTCACCCTCAATGGAAGTCCATGTATGACCTGAGATACTACACCCTTCCGAATCACTGTGGTCCATTCTTGTGACATGGACATGTGTACACGTGACTTGGACACAAACCATTGAGGACAAAGGAAGAATAATAGAAAATAGATTAATAGAAATAGGACTAGCTTGTTTTAGGAAGGAATCTCCTTCATGTAACAAAATATCAATAGCATAAAACTGAGATGACAGGACTGACCAAACAAAGCCTTGACTTCAGTTGTAAGGGTGAAGGGAGCATCTTTGTCCTTTTCCAAAGAGGGTATTCCCACAGAAGCAAAGCCTACATCAAAGCCCCCATATACCCCATTCAGGGAGCCTAGGATTGCTGCATAAAGCTTGAGATGTAGCAAAATAAAGTTGATTAAAAAAATATGTACACAGGTCTACTTCCTCTAACATCTTAGCAAGATGGGACAGTGGATAGAATGAGTACCTGTGGCAAGAATCTTGGTTTGACATCCATGGGAGATGGAAAGTATCAGTGGAGACTGGTTGGACTGAGGGTAACAGCTGTGAAAGATGCAGTTTTCCTTATCAATTGATCATATGATTTGAGTACGTCCACCTTGATCTGCTGTTTATGACATGGCAATCGTAGTAGCTATATGGAGTGATAAACCTTATGACCTTAACTTTGTGCAAGAGCCATTCTATTCCTCTTGGTTTCATTGGGACTTTCAGACACCTGAGGTAGATCTGATGAGTTGTGTGTCCCCAGACTCCTTTCATTACATGTCCACTGGAAGGGTATTTTGCTAAATTTGAAATATTGAATGCTTGCAAAAGGAAAACAATTGGAAATGTTCTGTGGTGACAGGAATGTGGCACGGTGTTTGATTAATGGCTTTGTCAATGATTGTCATGAATTTGTATTTAATTAATGGCAAGGGATTCTTACATTGCATTTTAACCTTTTTCAACCACAGCCCCCTTTATGTTGGGATGGGCTGTCAAGTAAGTGAAAGTCTGACTAACAACAGATAATATTTTTTTTATTGAAATGGGGAACATAGCATTGGAGGACAATAATTGGCAAGGATGCTAAAAATTTACTATAATGGAATCTGGAGAATTTTTTAATTATAAAAAAAAATACTGGCCATTTTGAAGGTTTTATAACTTCTTTTACAATTCATACTTCATTCTTTATCATTGCCATTGAGCAACAAAGCATTCAAAATGCCATTCAAAGCTGGAACAAAGCTGACAAGGAAACTGTAATTCTATAACAGAAAGTTCAGAGTATCATTGTTTCATTTAGAGGTAGGACAGTAACTAGGACATATCTTTATTCTTTGTACTAAATTCATAAACTACGGAACTGTTCTTTTGTGCAATAGAAGACACTGAGAGAAGCTCTTCAGGCACACTTGGAAGTTTTGACATAGTTAGTTTCCTCTCAATTTCATGGAGTGTTTGTCCTTTTGTCTCTGGTAGTAAGAGAATACACATGATCCCCATCACAAAACAGCTGGCACAGTAAAAGAAGAAAGTCCCATGGTTGTCCAGACCTTCCTTCATGGATGGGTATAATTGCAAGACCATGAAAGAGAACAATGCATTACAGCTGTTGGTAATACTTGTTGCCTGATTGCGGATCTGCAGTGGAATGCATTCACTCACTAGCACAAAAACTACTGCACTCATTCCCAAGGAAAACCCAGCCACAAATAGGCACAGTGTGATAATGGGGACCCAGTAGAGGCTTTTCAGAGTTTCCAGGTGTAATTCATTGTCAAGAAAGTAGTAATAGAGCCCTAAGCCAAAGTGGGCAAAGGTCATGAGGAAAGAGGAGATGATTGATAGGCGTTTACGTCCCACACGATCCACAAGGAGGCTTGAGATGATGAGAAATATAAATTGCACAGCTCCAACACTGATAGTTGAAACATGTGAATCAGCAAATCCTTCTCCAGCAGCCTCAAAAATTTCAACTGTGAAGTTGAGTACAACATATATTCCTGTCATTTGACGAAATAGCATTATCATTATCACCAACCCAACAGGTTTTAGATAGTTCCATTGGAATATATCTCTGAAATGAGATCTTGTTTCTTGGGATTCATTGATGTGCTTGATGACTTGATTCATTTCCATCATGACATCATAATGTGGACCTCGAAGCCTCCTAAGAGCTGTAGCTGCCTCTTCATGCCTCTTGCGTAAGAGCAGAAAAGTAGGTGACTCTGGTACAAAAAGGACTATGGGTATTAACACCATGGGGATTATTCCCAGAGTCAATGCAAGTGCTCTCCACTCCATGAATGTCCCAAGGATATATGCAAGCATAGTTGCAAATGTGAGAGCAATCATACTGCCTGAAGCCAGCAAACCTCTTCGATCCTTGTGTGCAATCTCTGCAGTGTATAGTTGAGAAATGGGGACTCGAATACCAAAGAAGAATCCCCCAAGACCCCGAGCGATCATGAACATGGAGAAGCTCAATGGGTATGTGATCATGAGCCAGGAAGCAAATATTGGGATGAGAAGTGCAATGAGAAGCCACTTGCGACTGCAATTTTTTGGGATCAGGGCAGCTACCAGGCCACCCAGGAACTGTGCCAGACTCACCATACTCACTGCAAGGCAATATACCAGTTATTGTGTTGATAATTGTGCTAGAATTAGAAGAGATGTAGCTGATTAAACCTTCAGATGAAATCTTGCACATTTTTTAAAACATTGAATGCTGGAAGTTGTTTGCATGAAACACTCAGTATTACAGGGAAGAAAAATTTTTGTTTTTATAAATGTCCAAAAAGATGTTCACATATAGCTGCTAATATAATATGTATCCATGCACATAAATATATGAATGTAGGAAACATTTATTTTTATTTGCATGCAGCTGTGTCTCATATTTTTTAAGCAGGTGTGAATTACATTAATGATCATAAAAAAGGAAAGAAAGTTATGCACAATTTTCTCCATAGCTTTTGAATTGAGGCAATATCTTATGCTTGAAGCAACTTTTGTCTTCATTGTGATTATATTAACACATGATTCATATGAGGTGATTTCCTTTTGTAGTGATTTTCAGAGAAAAATAAGATTTTTTGATAAATTCTATAAATTTTTATAAGATGTGGCCCTAGGCCCATCTTACACTCCAATGGAATCCATAAATTTTTCAATAGCCTACTAACCCATCATATTTATCCCTACAAAAAATTGCAAAAGGACCGAGAAGAAAAGGTATCAGAGAGAGGAAGGACAGAGGTGATCTGAAACCCTTAGTGTTTTTTCTGTACTAGTATCCTTAATTTTGCTTTGCTCATCCTGCTACATCATATTGTGGCTCATGGATCATAGCTTTTTGAATCTTGTTTCTATAGTCTACACCAGCAGTTCCCAGACTCCTTTTAATCGCAACCCACTTGC